ACCTCAGCGAACGTACCTCAATCAGAGTGAGGACATTTTTAGTAAAGGCCAGCTTAGGAGTTCCCTAATTAAGTTAATAACAATGTACCTACCTATATAGTTTAAGTTTAAAAAATTTGGCTCTCAAAAGAAATTTCAATCGTTGTACTGTTGATATTTGGCTCTGTTGACTAATGAGTTTGCCGACCACTGCCCTAGACAGATCGAAAGAGCATTGCGCTTAATGAAAAGAAATCACTCTCAAAGGGTTACATACTGTATGCTTTCATTTACATAATATTCTCAACATGATAAAACTAGAAATAGAGAGCAGATTAGTAGTTGCTAGGGCAAGCAACTATAAAGGGGTAAGGTTACTTGGTGGTAATGAAACAGTTCTGAATCTTGATTGTGATGGTGAATACATGAATCTACACACAGAATAAAGTTGAGTTGAACTATGCACACACAAGCACACAAACACACACATATGTATACACACATAAATGAGTGCATGTAAAAATGGTGAAAACTGAAGACAATCTGTAGTTTAGTTAATGGTGTTGTTCCAACATCAATTTCCTTGTTTGGTATTATACTCCACCTATGTGATGTGTCACCACTGGGGAAGGTGGAGGAAGGATACATGTGACTCTGTGTACTATTTTTGCAACTTTCTGGGAGCCTTTTGTTATTTCAAAATAAATTTTTTAAAAAACATGTCTGAATAGGTACATGAATAACATGGACACATTTTATCTTCCTTCTTTAGCAAATGGAAAATTTCTCATAAAATACTTAATATTAAACTAATAGAGTATAGAGACATAGTAAATTTAGTATTTATAACATAAGAAATACCCCTTTAAGAATTCGTATGTGAGAGCAAAGATGAAAATACAGGAACCTGATACAAAATGCACCCACTGTAGAAATGGTCAAACACAAATAAAACCAACTATATATTTTTAAAATTATATAGTGCACCAATCCTTCCTCATTCTCAAATTGTCCATGCATAAAACCCTTACAGTTGTGGTC